TTGATATATCCGCCAGGCATGTTTTATTCTCTATGATAATGTTTTCTATAGGTCTATCTGTTTCTTTTTCGCTTTTAGGAGTAATTTCATTATCATTTTTAATATCTATTGATACATTAACGTTTTCTATCGAGGTTTCAGGACATGACATTATTTCAGCTTTGGTCATTTCTTCCATTTCTGCTGTTTCTTGTTCACACGAAATGGGCATTTCGTTTATTAATGTATTTTCGACACTTACCAATGTTTCTTCTTTCCCTTCCAAATTAGTAGTTGATATATCCTTCAAGCATGTTTTATTCTCTATCATAACGTTTTCCATAGGTTTATCTGTTTCTCTTTCGCTTCCTAGTGTAGTTTTTTTATCATTTTCAATATCTATTGTAATTTTTATGGCTTTACTTGAGTTTTTTGCGCATAATATTATTTCAGTGTTTGTTATGTCTTTTATATCTATTGTTTTCAGTACATATGTATTGGTCGTTTCATTTGGATCGTCTGTATTTAAATTAGATTTATTACTATATTGTTTAAGTTCAGTATCTTTTATATTTTCTTCTTCTTCTTTGATTGCTGTAGAAGAGTTTTTTGGTGTTTTGGTGTCTCTCTTAGCTGTCGTTTTACGTTGTATTTGTTCGTGTGCTATATTTTTTATAGTTTCTACAGTTTTTTGATAACTGTGGTTTACAATTTCTACCACAATTTTTTGGTCAAAGGGCGTTACAGATAGTTTAATTAATGTTGAAGGATTGTTTTCAATATTTTCTATATTTTTTTCTAAGTATATTTCAGTTAGTTGTGAAGCATTTATTTTTAGTGAAGTTTCATTTACCTTATGTTTTTCCTTATTTAGTTTCAATGTTATTGTAGGTGACGATTTATTTTGTATTGTATTTTTGTTAATATTTCTATTCATATTATTTACTATTGATTTTAAAGTTGTTAGTTCATTTTTTGTGTTTAATATTTTTGACGAGATATCTTTTCCTTTTTTTAATATCTTTGGTTTAGTAGATGATGTATTGTTTGCTAATTGTTGTTGTGATACTATTTTTACTGGTTTATTTTTATTTTCCAATGTTTCACTCTGATTTTCTGTTTGCTGTATGTTCATTTTTTGTACTAGTAACTGTTTTGCTTCATTGTATGAAGTCAATTCTGACTCATTTTTTAATTCTTTTATTATTTTTGCTGTATTTTTTGAAAAATTTGTCGTATGTATTGGTATTACATCTTTTGAATTTGGTTTTTCAAATATAATGTCCTCAGCTATATTGATTTGTGATATTTTGTACTTATTTTTTTTTTCTATAGTCAGATCTTTAGCATAATTTTTTTCTTTCATGGTTAGCAATTCATTTTCTTGTGTTATTTTTTGTTTTATTGATACATTTTTATTTATAGTCTTATGCATATTACTATTTTCTATAATTTTATTTATTTTTTCTTTTTCAATCATATTTAGTTTTTCTTTTAAGTCGTTTTCTTTAATTTTTAATTTTATTGATTTACTCTCGTTCTTATCATCTACGCTTTGTACAAAGTTATCAGTTATATCATACAATGTTTCATTAATGATTGAATTATTTATTTTCGTTATTTCATTTGTAGACAATATATTTTCTTGGTGTACTGTTTTGTGTTTATCTAGGTCATGTTTGGTGATTATTTTATCATTTATTGTTTTATTTATTTCAATATCGTGTTTATTTTGTTTTATCATTAATTCTGTAATCGTGTTATTATTTTCGCATTTAATTTCATTAGAAGTATTATCTATAGGTTTGATTTCATTTTGATAATCATATTCTATATCTTTATCGATTGTATCTATTAGTTTAATATTTTTTGGAATATTAGTTAGTAAACTATCATTTTTATTTTCATTTGTAGGATTAATACATTTTTTAGACAAGTTATCTATATTGCTATTTATGTTAATTGGCTGTGAAAGAAGTGTTTCAAAGCTTGAACAAATTTCATTGGAATTGTTGTCATGTGTTATGTTTTTATCCTTTGAAAACACAGATAGTATTCGTAACACTTGTATTAAACATTTTTCACAAGCACTATTAGTTATTTTTGTTATAATACTTGCAAAAGGGGTGTTAATATTGTATTTTGCCAAATCGGTAATTTGTTGTATCATAGAATCCTTATTATATGATTCTAACTCGTTGTTTTTTTTTATTGCAACTACAGTTTTTCTACCATCTTCATCAAAACATGATATTTCATTTTGTGTACATGGTTCGTTGTCTATACATTTGATTTCGGATTTATCTATTATAGTTATTGGACTTATAAACGTTTCAGTTTGGTTTTGTTCATGAATATGTGTATTTGTTTTATACGTTTGATTGTGTTTTTCTGCATCATGTAAATTCTTATAATTTAATATTTCCTTCAATAATTCGCTGTTTGGTGATATATTTTTTACTTGAGGTATGTCATTTGTATTTCTAATGCTTTCATTGAGCTTTATTATGGGCTTCTTTATTTGATTACTTTCTGCACCTGTAGAATTTACATAATTTGTCGTATTATTTCTATTGGAAATATCTAAGTTACTCCAAAAATTGTTGTCAGTGAATTTAGTATGCGAATGAATACTAAGTGAATTTAAATCATCGACTTTAGTGTTATAACCATTGTCAGTTTCATTTTTTGGTTGAGTATTCGAATTTGTTGAAATTTCATCGATCAAATCAGTTTTTGGACTTTTTTTGAGTATGTTAGATGTACGTTTATGAACCTTTTTTGAAAAATGTGTACTATTGGATTCAAATTTTGTTACTATGGACTTAACGTCTGTTCGTATAGAGTTTTCTTCAGATTCTGAAAGAATATTTTTACTAAAAGATGGTTTACTGGGTTCAATGACGGGAATACTATTGTCACAGGTTTCAAGAGGTACATGTTTGGCCTTAGCAAATTTAGTTACCATTTTATATTTCTTTGTGCCTAAACGAATTTGAGATCTAAAATTAGTTAAGCTCTTTTCTACCGATATATAGTATGGAGAGCGGCAAATGGATAAACCATTTCGTACAAGTGTTAATGTATAGACTCCTTCAGCAAGTGGTGTGTAAGTAACTTTGATCCGATCTTCATCATAAAAATAATCCATGGGAATTGATTTTGTTTCAATAAAGTTTGTAGGGTTTTGACTTGATATTGTGATTTGACCAATTTCACCTTGACGTCCTTTGAGTCTAATAACGATATTTTCAAAACTATTATCATATTTTGAGTACAAATAAAATTCTGATTCACGTCCAACATTTGCAGTTATCAAACCTAAGCCACGTGCAACATAAGAGTCGTCGACTAAATATTCTATAAATTGGTTGATTTTATTATCTTCTGTGAAATTATCATTAGATGTCAATAATTTAGCACTTTTATTAAAATCATTCACTTTTGGTTCATCTTCTGCAATTAACTAAAAAAAAAAAAAAAATTTTTTATTAAATAATAATATTCTTCTAAGTTATATTATTATTATTATTATTATTAAAAAGATATCTAAACATTATTTACATACTTTATTTTACATAAATTATTTTCTATTTTAGTTGATATACGATATATTTATTGTATATTGATTATATTATAGTTTATTGTCTTTTGGCATATTAAAAATACACTTATTTATAAAAATATAATGCCTAATAATTATGTTATATAACATAACCAGTTCTTTTAAAATAACATCTAAATAAATAAATACAGTTTACTTATATAGTTTATAACAAGCTAACTCAGCCACATATATGTGAAGTAAATTTATATAGGTATAAGAATAATTAAAATAATGAAATAAAAAAATCATTTTTATACAATACTTATTAAAAATTAGAATGTGATTTAAATTTTTTTATTACTTCATTTTTAAACTTACCAGAGGAATGTCAAAGTGTTCTTGGATCTGTCCTTGTACATTAATAACATTTCCCGGCGCATTGTTATTATTCGGATTCGATTCAGATAATATTGTTGTATCTATTGTCACTATTGTAGTATTTTTTTGTCCGTCTATATACAAATAAAAATAACTAAAAAAGGTTCACTTATTGTGTATCAAAATACTACCTATACAACTACAGAATCTTGTATGTTTTAAACATTTCCCAATAACCGAATTCTTCTTTTATTGGTTTGAGTGGTTTTTTTTTTTTTTATTATTAACGGACGTGATTCAACAATAAAATGTAGTCTTACATCGAAAAAAATCACTGTGCCATATGCTATATTATGAAATAACAGATTTGTGTTTACCCTCGTGGGATTTTTAAATATTGTACTCAAATTTTTATGTCTAATACAATGTGTAAATTATGTATTTAGTTTCAATAGACAATGACTTTAAAGTTTGATATAAGACTAATAAAAAAAAAGTTCAATTGTTATTTATACTTATTTTAATATTCCGCATGTTATAATATGACCGTTGATCATGAATCAAGAATTCTTGTATTTGTTAAAAATTATAATGGGCAATAATAAGAGATTCATGTTAAAAATATTTAAAAAATCACCCAATAAGTATAGAAATATAGTTATATCATTATTTGGATATTATTAGATATTAAAATCATTGAAGTACGATTTACTTATAATAATGCATATAATATTATGTAATGCTACATAATGTAATATTATCGGGACCTAATTGAAACTGTTGAAAAACGATTTACAGCTATGAGTATTACTATTATGATATTACTAGATATAGTGATAGTCACTATTCATATTTCTCGATCAAAGACATATAAGAAATATAAATTTTATTTGGTGTTTTTTAAAATCAAACTTTAACGGTTAATTTAGTATAACACTTTTATTAACAAAAGTACATAACTATTCCTAAAAACCATTCCTTGTATAATCGTAAAAATCTACATTAATGTACTTTATAAATATTCTTAGGAATATAATTTTAAATAGTTTTTAACTGTCTACTTTATACATATTATTAACATATTCTAGTTGACTCATTTATAAATATTTATATTTATTTTACGGTAGCAATAATTCTTACACAAGAATATATGTTCTACTCATAGAACATAGTTTTTTTTTTAAGAGATAATATATTTTTGAATTTTTTCTGGCTTATATTGAACTCAAAACACTATAGAAAAGTTGAAAAAAAGTACCTAGTGAACCACCCTGTGTATTATACTTGAATATTATAAGGTTTTAGACATATTTTAATTTTTCTCTCTGCTTTGTCATGAAATAAAGTTTGAAAAATTATTAAAATTAAATATTTAAACAAAATCACTCACGTTTTATATATTTTTTTATCCGTGCAATAAAATAGTTGAGTGATTGGAAAATAAATAAAATCACTGCAATTACCCATGTTAAGATGTTGTGTAATGTTGTTTGTTCTACCATAATCTATTACATGTCAGCTAGAGCCTGGAACAAATATATAATCAATTAAAAATATGAATTTAACACATGGAAATAATACATATTAAATGTACTAGGCATTAGGAGTATTTAAAGTATTAGAACAATTTTGTTAGAAGTTCAGATTATTGGGCTTCATACTTTGCAGTTTCGCATCACGTGATTTCCATCTTGAAGCAAGGTTTATAATATAATATATCGCCTATGCTAGGGTTTAAATTACTTATAAACTCTTTCTATGTAAAATTCCGTCTTGACTAAATATCCTTTATTTTTCATATGATTATTTTTCTGTTCAATATTCCTTTAATCTCTCAATTCTTGTTGATCACATTTAATCTTGTATTGTATTTCTATCCAACACCTTAATTGATGAAATCGACATGTAAAAGATTTAACTCTTATTACTTTAAAAGTATCATTTCGTTGTCCTCGTTTATATGCTCCATTGTTTATTATTCTTATTTTGGAAGTATTTGCATCGGCTCCCTTTTGTCCGCTTTGACTCCCTCCATTCACTTTAAGGTGGCCATATCGGCTCCCAATCAACAACATTTTCTTTCTCATTTACAGGCTAGGGACTGGCTACAGTGAAAAGAAATTCTTTGTAGACATAATTATACTTATTGTAGGCGTTTAAAAAAAATGTGTTGACTATTGTGTTGAATTAAAAAAAAATAAAAATAAATTTAAAAACTAAAAATGTATTGTTTGAACATAACGGACACATTTTTTACATACTCTGCTCTATTAATTTATTAATTTTTTCTTATTTAAAGTGATCTATAAGTTTCTGAATAACACTATAAATATTTTGCTGGTTTTAAGTTTTTTTCCTGGTATTAGTGTTGCGAAGCTTTATATACGTGTCATCTTGTATATGTTTCAAAATTTTCATGAAATTAAAAATGCTCCGGTGAGCAAACACGTGAACTCGGCGTTAAATTTTGCTTGGAAAAATTCACAGCAGTTCGTGGTGTGATCGCTTGTACTTGATATACTATCAGTTCACATTTCTGGATAGACGCAATACGGTCATTTAATCGACGGAAAGGAGTAACAAATCGGAGACGATACAGGCTCATTAACGTATAGCAGGAGCCGATACGGCATCATCCTTTTTTTTCCTGCAAATAAATTTGACAATTTCCTTATAATCCAACTTTATCTCTAAAAATTGATAATTCAAATTGTATTTATAAATTAATTATATTTTTTTGTTAACCTCATTATTGTTTGTGCTTGTTTGGTTATTCTACATGATTAAATAAATTGTGTTAGTTATTTTTAAAAATAACAACTATGTAAATAAATAAACATAAAATAAATTTAGGCTTTAGAATTTTTGCTTTAAGTTTTAACGTATGGCTTAGCCACTATAAAGCATTTTGTAAAACTTAGGTACAATTTCTAGGTATTAACAATGATGGCTTTATCGATGAATAAGAGTATTCTTCTTTTTTTTTTAATTAATTTGTTGCTGCTTATATTGTTTCATATTAATATCTATAAGATACGTATTATTCATAAAAATTATGTAGAATTAAAATTGTTTTAATTTATAACTTATAAATAAATACATCTTATTTTATTAAACAATTATCAGTGCGGTAGTGAATTTTTAATAAAGCGCACTACTCTTATATTCCCTCTATTCAAGTATACGGAAAGGCGAAAGCTAATATTTAATTTAAAAAATAAATTTTTTAATTCCTACGTATTGTTTCTGGAGTAAGTACAATATTTTTTATTACCATGTTCAGTTTATAATATAATTTCATTGTTCTGTAATTTATTTCATCAGTGTTTAACATTTTATATAATCGGGGTTATCTCATTTTTGATGTAAATTTATATTTTTAGTATAGAAACACACATTTTAAATTTATAGTTTTATGATTCACGGTGGCATTATTTTTTTAAAAAATTTTTCTAATCAAAAATAACATAGCTGATTAAGTAAATTTTAATAACACATAATTCATAGAAGTATTTTTAAAATAATATTGGAATTGTAAAATTATTATAATAATTATAAGAAATTTAATACTTAAAATTTTTACGGATTCTATTTTTATTTAATTGATTCGCATTGCTCAACATGATGCCTATTTTTTTTCCTTAGTACACTTATGGATAATAATTTATGACAAACTTTATTAAAATTATTAATTGATTATCTTTTCAATTTGAATGGGGAAAAAAAAACATTGCAATTTGTTTGACTTGAATTCATTGTTTGGTATTTTTATTTTCAGTGTATTAAATTGTCGATTAATTTTTATTTCAGAAACAATTAATGAATAGCGATTGTGTTCAATACATTCAGCTGTAGTTTTGATTTTATTTATGAAGTTTAACTACATAATTAATAATCAAACTTCATCGTTTTTTTTTTAAAAGAAGGGAAAAAATGAAATGGTAAAATTATCAGTATTTATAATAGATTGCCCAAGAGTCAAGAGAATATACGTATAGTAATAACAATATTAAATTAAACAGATAGAGAGATTTTTAATTTTCAGCATGACAAGGTATGTTATTTTTTTCTACTTTCCAATAACCTTTATAAAAAAAGATCTTGACAAACATTTTGAAACGGTTTTATGAATTAAAAATAAATATATAATCGAGAAATAATAGGATTAATTTTTAACTTAGCAGGATCGTATTATTAATTAAATTTTGGTTCTACGAATAGTTGCTTGAAAATCTTCGGTTAGTGTGTTCCTGTTGCGTGATAACTAGTGATTAAAATTACAATATCACGAAAATATTTTAGTTCAAATAATTGCAGAAGGATATAGAAAAAATACAAATCCTTTAATACTGTCATATTTCTATAGGTACATATTCATATTTTTTACCCGATATATTTTTCATACTAGAATACATGTAGATATTCACATAGTTGAGTGTAGTCTTTGAATCAGTTATCAAATAAACTAGGAACATTTGAGAGAATTCATCTCAAAGATTTAAAAAAATGAGCCTTATTTTCGTAGTGCTAAATCTACAAATAAAACGTAAATCAAGGCGAATTTGTAACACAGGGAATAAGATCTAGAAATGGGAAAATAATGAGAATTTTATGGCGCCATTTGGAAAAAAAACGTCACAACGTTTTTGTGTTTTCTGTATGTATAAAGCTTACTTGGTCACCTGCGTTTGGACCTAACTTCGTCGAGAAAATCCTTGTTTTTATATTTCGTCTCGTAAAACGACCGTTTATGATTTTTGAATTGATCTAGAATGAGTGATCTGTTGTGATTGTTAATACCTAGCCTATATATGTAAATAATTAATAAACGACAAAACACATTTAACACACACATAAATACAAACAACTTTCAATAAAACCAGTATTTATATATTATCACCCATGAAGTTATATTACAATAGGAGCTATAGAATATAGAATTAGTCTATTAAATTAAAAATATGAACATTTTATACGTGAATTTATTATGAAAAAATATAAAATTTAAATAATATTATTTGAAAAAGACATTGAATGACCAATAAAAAACAAATAAAGTTATTTATTTTTTTTTTAATGTTAATTATGGCTACGTCGAAAATTTAAATGATTTCTTTTAACACAACGATTTTTATTAATGTGGTAGAAGAAAGCTTTTTTAACGTCATATATAAACACTCAATGATAGTTTCAGTCTCTCTGTTTGGTCTTTAATACTGCTCTATAGATAGTTACACTATTTAAAAATATAATATTTACCATATCTTGATAGAATTTAATAAAAATTTACCAATATAAAATTGCTAATTATATATAATAAGAAGCTGTTATTCAGGAACAAAAGTATATGAGAATACACAAGAATGCAAGCCATTCAAATTTTAGTAGTAAGTAACCATATTATTAGCTATAGTACGAAGTTTACTGAACATAAAAATGTAAGTACTTTTGAAATTGAAATTGACATTTATTTTTATTTTTTATCATCGATATTTTTAGAAAATAAACTAAAAAATGTTAAATGACTATTATATAGACTATAGCTCAAAAAATGTTAAAATATTTTGAAAATGTTATAATTGATTGAGAATGCTAATATAAACATTCGGTGAAAATTTGTGGTTATTGGTTTTTGAGTTAATTAAATAAATTAAAATTGATTTTGTCAAAAATTAATTTTGTATAAAAATGTCAATTTTTTCATTATTGGTTTTTTATATTTCCTGATTATTTTGATAAACACTAGGAATGTTTCTTATTATATGAATATTTTTTTTTCTAGATACCATTTATTAACAAAAACTTTAAGTCTAGAATTCATAATCACATTAATTTTTTACTAAGTATTAAAAGAATTAAAAATACATTCGTTATTGTAAAATCAATACATTCATTGCTCTTATCAGAATTTAAAACAAATATAAAGTGTGATGATTTTCAAAATACTATTTAATAAGTTTATAATTGTATAAATTAATTTTAACCACCAAATTATTGTAATCTACGCAGTTTATAATATGGAGGTTTATACTAACTTATAGAATTTTGTACTTAGAACTATAACTGAAGTATATATTTTTATCTTTATATATATATATTAAAGATTAATTTTATAATTTCCTCGTAACTGTGGCCTACTCTTGGGTATGTCATTAAATATAAATAATTATTAATTTATGTCATCTGTGATCCTATTAGCATGTTCTAAGTCACCGGTCAAATATTCATACAGTATATATTAATATAACGAAACTGTATTTTACGATTACTAGTTAAATACAACGCAAAAAACATTAACGTCCACGATGTTGGTACAAAAGAATCGGTATTTTTCTTTTATTTTTTAAAGTTTATTATATTGTTATATTAAACGTGTAATTTACGGCATACGCGGTTAACAGTTATTACATTTATGTATACCCCGCGTACCACAGGTTCCACAGTTGTACGTATTATTGTTTTCTTCGTATAATTTATAGTTTTATACGCGCATACACATTGTTCAGAACTATCATAGTGTTATTTG